CTTTCCTGATTCAGTCACCACCCTGCAATGAACAGGAAGTAGATTTGTGTGGAATAGATCTCATGACCTGTGTGTCTTCAGTTTGAGGCTTGACCAACAGTTCTTTTTTCAAACACGAGTGTGACGAATGTGGCAAGTTTCTGCCTTTCTCCTGACATCAGAATACAAGAATTAATTGAGATGGTGTGTAAAGACACTTCACAAATACCAATAATACATATATACTGCTTAAAGGCACGGCTTCGATTTTTTAGTAAAAGTTTAGATTTTTTTTGCAATTAGAACCTATAAATTAAATATATTGATAAGGATTTGGGGCCTTATGTATGACCCAAATAATTGAAATTTCTAGAATATATTTCAAAGGATGATAAAGTTTTATTATTTAATGGATATTTAACTTTGGCTGACATACCCTACTGGATGCTGTCAAAGTGGCTTTGGCCCAAACAATAAAACATTTTACCGTGTTAATCTATAAATTCTTCTGAAAGTTCTACCCAAGTAGAACAAGATTTCTTCTCCAGAAGAAGCCGAAACATGCTATCATATAAAATGCTGTAGAAATACCTTGCAGTCTTTCTGGAACCTCTAACTTTGAAGATACACATGACAGCATATCCAATGGCATGTGCTTGATGATGGAGTTTTACTGAAAAAAAATTATGAAAATGACTTAGGGTTCATGAAGGCTATGTAAAAGGTACTGTATTTTCTGGCATGTTTTGCTAGTTCCTCAGAGATTTTTAAAATTAGAATACACCCAAATGCCATAGAGTATGTGCCTTTCAACTATAAAGTTGTATTAAAGTATGACTAAATTGGCATTTAAACATAAATACAGATGTTCAAAAATCTATTACAGATGAACATTTAAGACTATAGTGTGATAAATATAGATCTATTTTCATTTTTCTGCATGTGGACATCCAGTTGGACCAGCACCATTTGTTGAAGATGCTGTCTTTTTTCCATTGAATGGTTTTTGCTTCTTTGTCAAAAATCGAGTATTCATAGGTGTGTGGGTTTATTTCTGGGTCTTCTATGCGTTTCCAATAGATCTATATTTATCACCCTGCACAAAACTAAAGTCCAAGTGGATCAAAGACCTCAACATAAAACCAATACTCTAAATCTGTTAGAAGAAAAAGTGGGGAACAGCCTAGAACTCATTGGCACAGGAGACAACTTCCTGAACAGAACACCAACAGCACAGGCTCTAAGAGCAACAATCAATAAATGGGACCTCATGAAACTGAAAAGCTTCTGTAAAGCAAAGGACACTGTCATCAAAACAAAACGCCTGCCTACAGATTGGGAAAGAATCTTCACTAACCCTTTATCTGACAGAGGACTAATATCGAGTATATACAAAGAATTAAAGAAGCTGAAAAGCAGCAAACCAAGTAATCCAATTAAAAAATGGGGAGCAGAGCTAAACAGAGAATTCTCGACAGAGGAATATCGAATGGCAGAGAAACACTTAAAGAAATGCTCAACGTCATTAGCCATCAGGGAGATGCAAATCAAAACAACCCTGAGATATCACCTTACACCCATCAGAATGGCCAAAGTGAAAAACTCAAGGGACGACACATGCTGGAGAGGTTGTGGAGAAAGGGGAACCCTCCTCCACTGCTTGTGGGAATGTAAACTGGTACAACCACTCTGGAAATCTATCTGGCGCTTCCTCAGACAATTAGGAATAGTGCTTCCTCAAGACCCAGCTATACCACTGCTAGGTATATACCCAAAGTTTGCTCAAGTACACAAAAGAGATATTTGCTCAACCATGTTTATAGCAGCTTTATTTGTAATAGCCAGAACCTGGAAACAACCCAGATGTCCATCAACGGAGGAATGGGTACAGAAATTGTGGTATTTCTACACAATGGAATACTACTCAGCAATCAAAAAGGAGGAAATCATGAAATTTGCAGGCAAATGGTGGGATCTAGAAAAGATCATCCTGAGTGAAATATCCCAGAAGGAGAAAGACAAACACGGTATATACTCACTTATATAGACCTATAAGATATGATAAACATAAATCTATACACCTAAAAAAGATAATCAAGAGAGCAGACATGGGGTAAGATTATCAATCCTCGTTTTGAAAGACAGATGGGATGCACATTGAATATTGACAGGAGTCTACTGAGCGCATTTGAAAAACTCTAACTAGCAGTGTTTTCAAAGCAAAGACTCATGACCAAACCTTTGGCAGAGTACAGGGAATCATAAGAAAGAAGGGGAGTTAGTCTGATGAGGAAAGGATAGGAGCTCCACAAGGACCAAATATATCTGGGCACAGGGTCTCTTCTGAGACTGACATGCAACCAAGGACCATGTATGAATGTAACCTAGAACCTCTGCTCAGATGTAGCCTGTGGTAGCTCAGTAACCAATTGGTTTCCCATAGTGAGGGGAACAAGGACTATTTCTAACAGGAACTCAATGGCTGGCTCTTTGACCTCCCCACCCCCCAAGGGAGGAGCAGTCCTGTTAGGCCACAGAGGAGAGCTTTGCAGCCAGTCCTGAAGATACCTGATAAAACAGGATCAGATGAATGGGGAGGAGGTCCCCCCTATCAGTGGACTTGGCAAGGGGCACTGTGGAGATGAGGGAGGGAGGGACTGGAAGGGAATGAGGGATCAGGACACGGCTGGGATACAGAGTTAATAAAATGTAACTGATAAGAAAAAAGTAAAATTAAAAAAAAGTAAAAAAAAAAGAAAAAAAAAGAAAAAAAAGACTATAGTGTGAGAAAAACAAAGATCATGCGAAAACAGTATTTATTGAGTGCAGTTCCTACCCTAAACACTTTCAAAAGCACAAAGCATATGAAAATAATAATACAAAAATGTTTAAATCACATTTGAAAATGGAGAAACTTGCTTTAAGGGAATGTAAGCATATAATGTCTTGTTTAATTTAACTTTTTGTCTTATGTTCTATTATTAGTTTGTATTTATAAGTGGCATGCCAACATTAAAACATGTTTGATGTAATTTTCCAATTCTTACCAGAAGAGTAATTGTATAAGTACAAATAGTGAGTGAATTCAGGTCTGATTTTTCATGGGGGTGCACAGTGCAGATTGTTTTTGTTTTTCTGGTTCAGTATCTTCATGGACAGGTACCAAAAGCTGTACAATCTCAATGGCGACTTTGAGTTGATTTGGTACTTTGTGTTTTGGAAGTAGGTGTTGTGGTGCTGAAAAGTGAAGCATCTATTTTGGGCCATTTTTAAAGTAGATTTCATAGTTTTGAAGTTCAAAACTGATAGAAGATGAAGGAAACTGAGGACAAAGAAGATTTTAATGAAGTGTTATTTTCTTGATATCTGTTTATAGAGATGAAAGTCAGCAGATGGGTCAGATAAGCCTAGTAACCAATATTAGGAGAGAAAAGGCAGGGAATTTTTCCATGGAAGGAAAAGGAGTGCTTTATCTGAAGGCCATCACAGAATGCAACGGACATCTGTCTGAAAACCCTGCTGGAGACATTCAGTCATTTACTGGACCCTCCTGCATTACTCTACCATCTGAATTAGAGTATTGGGTAAGGGGAATGGTCTTTCTGAATGGGGAAGGGAATGTCTTGTTAAATCTGATGGATGCATGGGTGCCTCGTCTCCAAACTATGATAAAATCCTCTTTTCAGAAAAGAACATACTTTCTTTTTTCATTTCATTTATTTTTACTTTTTGTAATTTATTCATATTGTATCCCAATTGTAGCTCCCTCCCTCATCTCCTCCTGGTCCCACCCTCTCTCTCCTCCTCTTATCCCCTTTCCCTAGTCCAATGAAAGGGGAAGACCTCCTCCCCTGCCATTTAACCTTAGCTTATCAAGTCTTATCAAGACTGCCTGGATCTTCTTCCTCTGTGTTCCTGCAAGTCCACATCTCCAGGGGGAAGTGATCAAAGAACATATTTTCTTATCTGTGTGATATTTAAAAGTTTTACAAAAGCTTTTCAGTTTCATGAGGTCCCATTTATTGATTGCTAATCTTAGAGCCTCTACTGTTGGTGTTCTGTTCAGGAAGTTGTGTGCCAATGAGGTTAAGCCTCTTCCCAACTTTTTCTTCTAACAGGTGTAGTGTATCTGGTGTTATGTTGAGGTCTTTGATACTTGGACTTTGGTTTTGTGCAGGTGATAAATATGAATCTATTTACATTTTCTATATGTAGACATCTAGTTGGACCAGCATCATTTGTTGAAGATGCTATCTTTTTTCCATTGTATAGTTTTGGCTTCTTTGTCAAAAATTGAGTATCGGTAGGTATATGGGTTTATTCCATACTGATAAAGCTTGTGTTTTTAAAGGTGCCTCAACAGGAAGACATATTTTGACACAGAAAACAAGAGATAAGAGAAAGGATGTTGAGGTTCTCTGCATCTTACTGTGTCTGGTATTGGAGGAAAGAAGAATTTGTAAGGCTCACATACAGAGAGCACATTCACTGCTTCTGTAAGTCATAAAAGCCCAATAGATTCTTTTCTACTTGAATTATCAGATGCATGGTTTCTGCAGAGATGCTGGGCAGAGGTAGTCATAAAAGTGCAGATGGGTAGGAGAAAAAGGAAAAAAAAAGAAGAGAGGGTGGAGAGGGAGGTAGAGGGGAGAGAATGAGAACTTTCCTCATATTTTCTTCAAACCTTGCTATGTAAGTTACACATTGGGTGATAGATGTAAAAATTAATTTTATGCTTGGGAGCATGATTTGACTGAGGAACCCATCTAAAGAGAAAATTGAAATGATGCTCTTTAAATGAAATGAGAGTTTACAGAGTAATGTACTCATTTTAAGCAAACCATTATTGGTTGTCAACAGTGACTAGAATGTAATAGTTTAAATGTTTGTTAGTTAAGTCAGGAATGAATGGTATGCTCTGACAATTACTGGCAGTATATAAAGGCCCCAGGATGGTAGAGGCATCCACACTTGAGAAATAATTCTTTTCTAACCCAAGTGAATTCTCCCTTTTTGACAATATGTGTTGTAACTACTACGGCAGCTCCTGTGGCTATGGCTCAGGCTATGGCTGTGGCTACGGCTCAGGCTATGGCTGTGGCTACGGCTCAGGCTATGGCTGTGGCTATGGCTCAGGCTATGGCTCTGGCTATGGCTGTGGCTACGGATCTGGCTATGGCTGTGGCTACGGATCTGGCTATGGCTGTGGCTATGGATCTGGCTATGGCTGTGGCTACGGATCTGGCTATGGCTGTGGCTCCTATTACAGGTCTAGCTGCTGTAGCTACCGACCATCTTGCTACAGAAGATGCTATTCTTGCTGTTAGAACACCCCCAAGAGGGGACCAGTTGCTTCTGAACGGACACTCCTGAAGATAATGTTTCTTTAAACACCAATGGCCAAGATCTGTATGTCCAAGGACTTAGAAACTTGACAAAGTCTTTGACCTCCAGCTGCACATTTTAGAAAGCATCGTGGAATCTGCACTGTCACCCAACTGGTTCTGCTTTCTTGCTTTCTGCTTCTGTTGTCTGAATGTGTTAATGGCTGTAACATCTACAGTTGGAAATGTGACTTATTTTCAATAAAATTAATCTTGGTTTTTAACAAAGCTTTGCGTATTTGCTTGTGAGATGCTCCTGCTTTGACTTACTTGAAAACTGAGTTAACTGCATTGGCTGAAATTTGCAAACCACCTGATTTGATACTTGTTAGCCCTTGTATTTTGCATCAATAACGTCTTCTCTAAGTGCTGTCTATGCACATCTCAGAACTTCATCTAAGCACAAGCCACGGAGTATTTCTGCACGGAGCTTTGGAAATGGCTCTGTGTCTCAACTGGGGATGGGATGGATAAGACAGGAAGGAGGATACGTACACAAGAGGCTATGGCAAATGCTACAGGGGTAGTAGATATAGCCTGAAGGCTTAACAGATAAATGAAACTAGAGGGATTATTTTCAGAGTTATTGAGGAGTTAAAGTTATACTTGAAGGAGCAAAACCTAGGAAAAAGAAAAGTTAGAGGAAAAGTATGTTATATATTCTGCATCTGATAGAAATGCAAATACCTATTGAATTCAGCCAAGTGATTTGATTCACCTAAACAGCAAGTGTTTTTGAACAGGCTGCATCCTAGATAAAATAAAATAAAAGCATTACAAATGAGGGGCTGGAAAGATAGCTCAGTGGTTAAGAGCACTGGTTGTTCTTCTAAAGTACCTGGGTTTATTCCCAGCACCACATAGCAGCTCACAAATGACTATAATTTCAGTTCCAGGGGATCTGAAACTCTAATTCAGACATACATGCAGGCAGAACACCAATGTACATGAAATGAAAATAAATAATAAATTGTTTTTAAAAGTATTACAGGTGAGTTGTGTGCTCGTGGTGTTTGCTTCACAATAGAGAAGGTAGGAAGACAGTCACTAGTGAGGACACATACTGATACATAGCTGCAGCTCAGTAGGAAAGAGTACGTATGTGTCAGTAAGACAGTTCAGGCATGTATTTTGAAGTTGTGCTCTTTGAGGTAATACTAAAAGTTGACACTAGCAAAGAAAGGCAAATAAATTTAGTAACAAATGCTAAGGAGAAAAAGAAATTTCTTATTAGCATCAGGTGAAGACACCAGAAGCAATGTTCAGACATGGCTACTGTACATGTGAAATGTGGCAAGTATGAAATGAAGTGCCAAATGCTACACCAGCTGCCAGTCACCCTATCAATAGGGTTCTCTTGGATGGAATTGAATATGATGGTGGGATTCATTCATTCTTGCACTTACTTATTTTTATTATATATTTCTTTTATTGAAAATATATTTTTTTCTTAAATACTATATCAGGATTGCGGTTTCCTCTCCCTCTACTTCCAGTTCCTTCCCATCATCTTTCCTCCCATTTGTATCTACACCCTTCTATCTCTCATTAGAAATCAAATACGTTTTTAAGGAATAGAAATATGATATGATATGATATAATATAATATAATATGATAAAATAAAAACAGAATCTTGAAATTGGACAAAACAAACAAACACACCAACAAACAAACAGAATGGAAAGAGCCCAGGAAAAAGTATAAGAAACATATATAGACATAGAAATTCACTTTTTCTCTTTCTCAGGATCCCATAAAAACATAAAACTGGAAGTGATAATACGTATGCAAAGGACCTGGAGACAGGGAGAGAGAAAGAGAGAGAGAGAGAGAGAGAGAGAGAGAGAGAGAGAGATACAGAGAGACAGAGACAGTGAGAGCACAGAGAATAAAGTTAAAAATTAATTTAATTAATTTTTTTTAAAGAAAAGGAACGAAGAAAAAGCTGTGACACTATGAGGTAAGCATCCTTCGAAGACGTTGTTGAATCAGCTCTCTTTTGACCATCTACTGCTGGGCATGCAGCCTACATTTAAGAGTAGTCTATTTCCCCAGTGAGACTCCCCTGGAGAAAACTGTTTTCATTTGTAAGTGGTTATCAGTTGTAGGTAGTACCTGGGTTAGGGAAGGGAAGGTTAGGTTAGGCACAGGCTAAGCATGTGCCTGGGGAGTCCATTAGAAGACAGCTGATCCCCTGGAGCTGTAGTTACAGGCAAATGTGAGCTTCCTGATGTCAGTCTTAAGCCGTGAGCTATTATCTTCTGGTAGAGCAAGTGCTTTAGACTTATCCATGTTAGCCAGCATTCATATCAACACATGGACACACACATGCTCACACTCTTTTTTACCCCCACCCCAGACATACACACAGAGAGAAGGGATAGAGGGAAAGAAAAATGGGGGGGGGGAGAGAAGGAAGAGTGGAGGGATGGAGAGAAAGAGGGGGCAAGTCATTCAGAAAAACTACCAGTGGTGCAAACCAACTACAGCTCTTATAAAACAGCTGGACTGGGAGATACAGAAGCTCAAAATTTAGAAATGTCAATTCCTGTAGACTGTTTAATGGATTTGTTTTTGTGTGTTGGCATAAATGGTACCTAGAAGTAGATGAAAATGTATACCTGAATGACTGGTGATACATAATTAGGAGTTTAACATTACAGATGTGCTCTCTGTCACTCTAGAGACAGTAAGGTTGAAGTGAATGGATGGTGACAGCTTTCTTTCCAATACATGATTCATTACAATCAAGATTGACTTCCTTATCAGGTGATTTACAAATGGATTGTTTCAAACTATGTGGCTGACATATTATTAGAGTTATTTTGGGGGAATTATCTGAGCTCAGGAAGCAAGGAGGAATAACACAATCCTATATATCTATACCCATTCCAGGTTACCATGTATTAGAGACACAGTGCAGCTTTGATGTTTGCTTATAAAAATGGTAGTGCTGATTCTAGAACAATGCAGAAATGGAGGCTCTCCCGCACTTAGCATTTTTTTTTTTCCTGTAGTGACCCATCATTGATTTGGCATATAAAAAGACCTTCAGTTCTATCACTAAGGCTCAACCACTCACAGTGTTAGAGACCCTTGAATTTTTTCCCAGTGTGCTAGTGAACTTTTCCACTTCTTCAGTTGTTTTCCTTTGAAACCCTCTCTTTATTTTTGAGGATATAATGTATTTACATCATTTCCCCTTCCCTTTCCTCCCTACAAATGCACCCATATACCTCTCCTTGCTATCTTTAAATGTCACGACCCCCTTTTTCATTAATTGTTATTACACGAACATTTATACGTATACACATATTAAAATGTAACCTGCTTAGTTTCTAAAATGTTGTTTGAATGCAAATTTCATAGCTGACCATTTGGTATTGGATAATAGGTTGCTGTACACTGTACTTGTGCCTGGAGAACATTTCTCCCACTCCGAGCATTCCTTCATAGCATGTAGTCTTGAATGGAGGGTTGGGGCCTTATAGTCTTTTTCCTGCCCGTTTTGACATGTTTACTGTTGTTGTCCTTGTGCAGCTTATGTTGGGGACTTCCCAGGGGTAGGTTCTGACCTTAGTAAGGGACACAGCAATCTTCCTGTTCTTCTGCAGTGTTCTCTGAGTCTTAGGTGCGCCATGCAAAATTCCAAAGGGAAGATGCAGCCTAGTTATGGTGCCCCTGAACTGTGAAAGAAGTTGGAGTCTTGCCAAGTGGAACAACAAAAGGGATAGACTGTACAACTAACTACTGCCTGTACTTTAGATAAACGCATAGTTTCGCTCACCAGCATCTAGTAATAAAACTAATAAAACACATTTAATTACATTGTTACTCATTACTAAAGAATTTATCTATCTTCTAAAAGTATTGGGTAAATGTAACAAAATCATATTATAAAAAAGATCAGAGTATTGTTATAGTATAGTTACGCACAAGAGTGTCTAGGAAATTAAAAAAAATCAAAAGAAAGTCCAAAACTAAGAATAAAAATAAGTTGTATAGCTAAAATATTGAGGATGAATAAAAGCGAGTTGGAGCCTTCCTGTCAGGGGAGACTGGGGAGATACATTTTGGAATTGTCAATATGCTGGGAGATTTGATTTGCTGCCTTTGTATTTTGTGGAGGAAATGTAATCTCTAGATAGGTCAAGGTAAGGGTAGGCAGAATTCCAAGATGTCTCTCTCTCTTTTTTTTTTTAAATATAACTTAGTTTATTGTATCAGAAGTTCAAAATTTTAACATTCATCAATGGAGTTCTTTTTTTTAATTTTATTTTTTTCTTATCAGTTACATTTTATTAACTCTGTATCCCAGCTGTGTTCCGATCCCTCATTCCCTCCCATTCCCTCCCTCCCTCCCTCATCTCCACAGTGCCCCTTGCCAAGTCCACTGATAGGGGG